GTTGACTTTACATCATAACTGGACAGGTCGCTTGCAAGGAACTTAAGAGCAGCAGGCTGTTCCTCAAACTGCTAGAAGCTGTTCTTAAGACGGGTAATCGGATGAACGATGGAACTTTTCGAGGTGGGGCGCAAGCATTCAAATTGGACACTCTCTTAAAATTGTCAGATGTGAAAGGAAAAGATGGGAAGACTACACTATTGCACTTTGTAGTTCAGGAGATAATCCGCACAGAAGGGATAAGAGCTGCCAGGAATGCCACTGGAAGCCAAAGCTTCTCAAGCACCTCATCAAAGGAGATGCTGGATGGAACTACTCACGATCCAGACGAGCATTTCCGTAACTTGGGTCTTGAGGTCGTGTCGGGGTTGAGCGGCGAACTTCAGAATGTGAAGAAAGCAGCGACCATAGATGCCGATGCCTTGACTGGTACCGTTTCTAAACTTGGGCATGGACTGTTGAGTTCAAGAGACTTTTTGAACAAAGACATGGAGAATCTAGGTGAAGAGAGTAGATTTCATCAGACACTGAAAAGCTTTGTGCAGAATGCTGAGGTTACTATCATGGCCCTCCTGGCAGAAGAAAAAAAGATCATGGAAATGGTGAAAAGCACGGGTGATTACTTCCATGGAAATGCTGGGAAGGATGAGGGCTTAAGGTTGTTTGTTATAGTGCGAGATTTCTTGATAATGATAGATAAGACATGCCGGGAGATAAAGGATGCACAGAAAAAACAGGCAAAGCAGGCGAAGGGGCACAGAAAGGCAGCATCTTCTTCTGATATCAATCCCTCCCTTCCGTCTTCCGATACCAATCAACCCCCGTCCTCATCTTCCGATACCAAACAACCCCCGTCCTCGTCTTCCGATACCAATCAACCCACGTCATCGTCTTCCGATACCAATCAACCCACGTCCTCGTCTCAAGACACCAATCAACCCACGTCGTCGTCCCCTGATACCAATCCATCCTCCTCGTCTCCTGATACCAATCAACCCCCGTCGTCGTCTCCAGATACCAATCAACCCCCTTCAGCTCCAGTTTCTGATCCACGCCACCCACCTCCTCCTCCTCCTCCACGCCACCCACCTCCTCCTCCTCCTCCACGCCACCCACCTCCTCCTCCACACCACTCACCTCCTCCTCCTCCTCCACGCCACCCACCTCCTCCCCCATCATCGTCTTCTGATACCAATCAACCCCCTTCAGCTCCAGTTTCTGGTCCACCCCACCCACCTCCTCCCCCATCATCGTCTTCTTATACCAACCAACCCCCTTCAGCTCCAATTTCTTATCCACGCCACCCACCTCCTCCCCCGTCATCGTCTTCTGATACCAATCAGCCCCCTTCAGCTCCAGTTTCTGATCCACGCCACCCACCTCCTCCCAATCTAAACCAGCTGATTTTCCCTGCAATTACTGATCGTCGGATGGGTAGCTCAAGTTCAAGTTCAGATGACGAAAGTCCATAGGTTATCTTATCAGCCATTGCAAAGGTGCCCAACTCTCTGAATTGTTAGGCTCCATTTTGGACATAGGCAAATTCTTTAGCAATATGAAGAAGCTCCATGAATTGCCAATGTGCCCAGAGCACACTTAGAATTCTTAACGTTTTTCACCTTTGTTGATTCTTCTGTAAAAAAAAAATCTAGTTTTGAAATTTTTGGCAGTTGGAGCATTATTCACCATAGTTTGTATATATAGATTGTGTAAGATTATCAGTTAAACATTTCTATCTTCCTTTTTGATGTCGTGAGAGTCCCCAAAAGCTCAATATTAAAGATGGGTTCTACACTAAATATGGCAACCGAAGTTTAAGACTCCATGATCATGTATGAAGAACAAGTAGGAGGTGATATTAATAGATGATGATGATGATATTCACAACACTAGTGAAATTCTAGCACTACTCCTTGAACTGTTACAAATTTCATAAGCAAAGATCCGTAATCTAAGAAAAACAATGTCAAAAGAAGGGGGGAAATTGAAAAATCTAACAGAGTAAGAGAGAGCACTGTCATGACCGGAGCCAAATTTTTCATCAGAGCATTCAATGATTCAGTTCATCTGTTCCTACTACAAACAAATTTAGGGTTCATCATCACCACCAGCGTTCTTAGATGAAGTCCCTGTTTTCTTGGGCAGAAGCAGATTGTGAATGTTGGGCATAACACCGCCATTAGCAATAGTCACATCGCCCAAAAGCTTGCTTAGCTCCTCGTCGTTACGTACAGCGAGCTGAATGTGACGAGGAACAATACGCGTTTTCTTGTTATCTCTAGCAGCGTTTCCAGCGAGCTCCAAAACCTAAACATCAATAATCCTTCGAGTTAATCTCAGAAGCAAGAAAATCAATCTAATTCTCAAACGCCTATGAAGAAATTGAGAAAGAGGACACGAATTGGGGGAAAATTCGAAACCCTAGATCCATACAGCGTGCTCAATTTCACAAAACCCACACAGCGATAGAAACCAAAAGAAAAGGAAAAAGTTCCAAAATATCATACCTCAGCGGCGAGGTATTCAAGGACGGCAGCGAGGTAGACCGGAGCACCGGCACCAACACGTTCGGCGTACTTGCCGGCTTTGAGGAAACGAGCAATACGACCGACGGGAAACTGCAACCCGGCTTTACTACTCCTTGAGGTGGCCTTTTTAGCGGCACCGGATCCTAGGGTTTTGCCTCTACCTGCCATTAGTTGAGATCTGTTGGACGGAGAAGAAGAACGAAAGAATTGAAGAGAAAATGGAAAGCAATTTTCCGGCGAGGTCGCGAGAGAGAGAGCAATAAATAATCACGATAAGGAAGGAGACAGTATTTGGTATATATAGTGAGATGGGTCTCGTGAGATGAGCCAATAAAATTGAAGTACGCGGATCCAAATCGCGGCCGTTGGATGGATGAGTGATGGGACGGTCCAGATTTGAACGAGGATTCAATTTTCTTAGAAGATGCCGCGAGAGGATGGATTACGTCAGCGTGCATGTGAAGTGGCGGGAAGGCCCCTGGTTTTTTTATTGAAATAATTTATGAAAAAATTTGTTAAACATATTTTTTTTCCTTTTTTTTTTTTTTGCTTAATATTTATTTTTATTATTATTGTTGTTTTAAAAATTTTAATTTAATATTTTTAAATTTGATAATTTATCTTAAAAAAAATATGATTAGCTTTCAACTTTTAATAGTATTTTAATTTTATAATATTTTTAAACTTTAAATTTTTTTATTAATATTCTATAATTTAAAAAAAAAATCATAAATATCATTACCCGTTAGTATTAGGCTTAAAAATACCTCAAAAATTTTAAAAGTAGCATTAACATCATTTATCTTTATAAAAAAAATTTAAAAATTATTACCGTCAATATATAAACAAGAACCTTCTATCAATGTCTTATAGATTATCTTTTAACTCAATATTGATGTAAAAAGTTAAAAGTTTAACCTACTAATGATTTTTTTAACTAACTGTTACGGTCTTACATTTTTTATCGCGGTGTCGTGATCTTAACATGCTTACGACCAGCCTTAAAAGGAACTAAGTCCCATATATATTTTTCGCCCCTGCTTGGTGGCTTCGTCGGACCTTAGGCGAGGTTCGTCTTCACCAATCAAACATCGCTTGTGCAAAATTCAAGCTTGTTCAACCACACACACCGTGCCTACATTTTTTACCACGCGGCGTCGTGATCTTGACACGCTCAAGACCAGCCTCAAGGGGAACTAAGCCCCATATATATTTTTCGCCCCGGCTTTGTGGCTTCGTCGAACCTTAGGCAAGGTTCGTCTTCGCTAATCGAACATCGCTTGTGCGGAATTCAAGCTTGTTCAACCACACACACCGCGTCTACATTTTTTACCGCGCAGCGTCGTGATCTTGACACACTCACGACCAACCTTAAGAGGAACTAAGCCCCATATATATACTTTTTGCCCCTGCTTGTGGCTTCGTCGGACCTTAGGCGAGGTTCGCCTTCGCCAATCGAACATCGCTTGTGCGGAATCCAAACTTGTTCAACCACACACGCCGCTTGCGCGTGCTTGTTCAATTGTTTGCTACACATCCGACTTGCCTCTACACTAGGCCAAGTCATTCGGCTCGACCTTGCCTCTGTTCGGGGCCAAGGTCTCTCAATGCAACATCGCATCTCATCTTATCATCTTGATCCCCATCGACATGGTCCATATGTCCTAACATCATCCTAAGTCTCAAGATGTCGTCGGCCATCACAACATTAAACCATTTCAAAGTTTAAGGGTATTTATGAACAAAATATTAATAATTTTCATTCTGATTGTACTTTTTAACTTTTTTAGAAAGTTCAAATATATTGAAACTTGCGGAAAAAATGTATAATTACTCCACAAAATTCTAAGAAAATGATTATAATTTAAACATGAAGCAGCCTAATTTAAGCAGTAAAATTATGTTACCTTGCCAGAGTTCCATTCCATATATGTCAAGAAATTCAAATACTTTTGACCAATTAATCGATACTCATTAAATAGTTATGAAGGGTAGCATCGAGACACCCAACAGATACAAAACTCGAGAGACGAACATTGAGACGCTATCTACTACTACCTATAACGTATGAGTTCTAGCAACTCATAAGCACAACGTTTGTCGTTTCGTAGTATCTAAGCTCTACATGGTGTTCCAACGTTCTTTTTGTACGTCTCAATGCCACGATAAGTCGCAGTACTAAGCAAAAATTCTCGTAAATAGTAGGCTAGTTAAGAGAACCGAGTTCTTGGCCTATGGAAATAATAATTATTTTAGTTTCAAGTAATAAATTACACACACACATATATATATATATAGATGTTGTTTTCCTCTGCATCTCTCTATGTTCTCTAGCATCCATAGTTGCTCTGTTTCCTTCATCTCTGTCGACGTCTCGGTCGTCTTCTCGACCTGTTTCGACACGACGCTGCCTGCCAAGCTTAATGGTTGGACGTCGAGACGTGGAGGAGCGTAACGTTCCAATGATTTGAAGGGAGAGAAGAAAGAAAACATGCCAAAAGTTTGGTTCTCTCTGAAAAAGTCCTTCCCCTGCAAACCAGAGCCATCAGAAGTGTATGATCCTAAGTGCAGGAAACAACTCAACACAATCACAACAAAGAAAGCAGCCAAAAAGACAGGCTGTTCTTCAGGAAGGTCTGGCTGTTCAAGGTCCATAGCAAATCTCAAAGACGTCATCCATGGAAGCAAGAGGCACATCGAAAACCCGCCAATTTGCAGCCCGAGGTCGATCGGTAGCAGCGAGTTCCTCAACCCGATTGCTCATGAAGTAATACTAAGCAACTCAAAGTGTGAGCTCAAGATCACTGGTTTTGGAAGCTTCCACCAAGAGGGTGGGGGAAATTCTGATCTTAGCAGGGGTGGAGGCGGGAATTCGCCATTTTTCGGTACACTAAGGCCCGGAACTCCCGGTCCGGGGTCCAACTCCCCTTCTAGTACTACCTCCATATCTGCAACAAGAAAGCTTCCTTCTCTTTTGTCCTATAGAGATGGGAGTACTGCTAAATCCAAGGGAGGTGGGGAAGTTCGTACGAGCAAACGGTTCATGCCGCTAACTGAATCGAACGGTAGGACGTTTTCGATGGTTACTTGCCATAAATGTGGAGAGCAGTTCTGCAAATTGGAGGCTGCTGAGTCTCACCATCTCTCCAAGCATGCCGGTTAGATAGATATCCTTACTGATAATGTTTCTATTGGTTTACCAAAATGGCTACTCGTCTTCGAGTTCAGACATTCATGGAGTTTCACGTTTCTTTCTGTTCTTTTTTTCTCAGTTACCGAGCTTGTGGAGGGCGATTCATCAAGGAAGATTGTCGAAATAATATGTCGAACAAACTTGTCGAAGTCGGAGAACAACAATAACCGAATCGAACGAGTTTTCAAAGTTCACAATATGCAAAAAGCATTGGCAGGATTTGAAGAACACAGGGAAATGGTGAAGATCAAGGCAAGCAAGCTTTCAAAGAAACACCCTCGATGCCTCGCGGATGGGAACGAGCTGCTGAGGTTTTACGGGACGATGTTAGCCTGCACTCTTGGACTAAACGGCTCGTCCACCCTCTGCATATCACAGAAATGCAGTGTCTGCAGAATTATAAGGAATGGTTTCTCAGCAGAGAAGGATATGAAAGAAGAAGTGGGAGTTTTCACGACTTCAACGAGCAGGAAAGCTTACGAAACCATTGAAACAACCGAAGAAACCTCGGTGAAGAAAGCATTGATAATCTGCAGAGTGATTGCAGGGAGGGTTCATAGGCCATTGGAGAACATCAAAGATATGGTTGGCCAAGCAGGGTTTGACTCCTTGGCTGGCAAAGTGGGCTTACATTCCACCATTGAAGAGCTTTACTTGCTCAATCCTAAAGCTTTGCTTCCTTGTTTTGTTGTGATTTGCAAACCATGAAGATAAGGAAGCCAACACAAAGTTTGTGGTTTACCATTTGTTTTCGAGTTTATAACGGTATTATTTAACTCATTCGAATTCCACTTCGAATCGTTATGTAAGGATTCCCGATTCATATATATAACGATCAAGGTGAAACTATACTATAAGTCCATGTATTTCAACTCTCAAGAGTATCTTCACCTAACTTGCACGATCGAAAGTCAAAGAGTAGCTCTAGCCTTCTTTCTTTCAGGCAAGGAGGTCTCTCGAGCCTGCAGTTTCCTACTAGGGCGGGACTCTGAATCAAAGTAGTGTAACAAACTAGCTATAGGGTAGGACTCTGAATCAAACGATGAGTTCAAACTCAAATCAGTCCTCTCTTCCAGATTTAATGATCCCAGTTTAGCCTTTCCTTGTCCTGTAACGAACCAAGTTCGCCCTCTTTTGATTCTTGGGCCCTATCCATGGAGTTTCTTTGTTCACTGGAATAAGCAGATTAACCGAACTCATTGTCGTTATAGTAACATGCTTAAGACCTGAGATTCGAACATTATACTAAAACACGTACTTCTACATATCAATAGATCAAAGGCTTGATTTTCGTAGAACAGGTTGTAAAAACCTCAACACTACATGGGAGGTGTATTTAAAGAAATGCATCTACCATATGCAACTAATTTGGGTAAGCCTAAATGATAGCACATCATTTACTTTTGCTGCTACATCAGGACAGTACAGCTTTTAAAGCTCCATTGATGCACATGGACAGCAATAGAACATTTGGAGAGAAAAGAACAAGGATAGTATTCTTGGACAGTAGGAATTGAATGAGAGTCTTAAATGTTGGAATGGGGATGGTTTGGGAGTAGATGAACCTCAATTCAAAATTTGAAAATTTTGGCCAATTTTTGACTCGACTCCTTGTGTGGGGTTACTTCCACTTGCCATAGCGATGTTGATTTTAGAGGACGGGCAAGTGCTCGGTTACTCGAGAGATGAGGACTTTTGTTAAACTTCTAAACCGACTTTTCGACTTTTTCTATCGTTAGATATGAGTATCTCCTTTCACATGAGCTCATATCAGTAGACGTGTGTAAGCACAACTCTAGTTCTACTGTAATAGTCCAAGCCCACCGCTAGCAGATATTGTCCTCTTTGAGCTTTCCCTCAAGGTTTTTAAAACGCGTCAGCTAGGGAGAGGTTTCCACACTCTTATAAAGAATGTTTCGTTCCCCTCTCTAACTGATGTGGGATCTCATAATCCACCCCCCTTTGAGGCCCAACGTCCTCGCTGGCACACCGCCCAGTATCCACCCCCTTTGGGGCTCAGCATCCACTCTCTTATAAAGAATGTTTCGTCCCCTCTCCAAGGTGTGAATAAGCCATCTGAAAGCTAACCAAAGAGAAGATTTTCCATGATACTTAAAAGGAAAGAACATATCCCATTCCCTGTGTTTTAATTGCTCTGGCCCCAGTTTCCAGCCTAGATCTAGGTGTGATTGCCTTTATTTTTCAACACCTACAATCAGTTTTCACTAAGGATGTTGTTCATTAACTGCTCCAAACATATCTCTCTCAGTCATCTTATCGTCGCAATTGGCTCTCTCTATCTTCCTTTCTTTCTCGAGCCAGCGAAGCCCACATTGACTATTAATGGTGAAGGTAGATTTTTGTTTTGAGATCCCACATCGATTGGCGAGGAGAACGAATCATTCTTTATAAGAGTGTGGAAACCTCTCCCTAGAGGGGAAGCCCGAAAGGGAAAGCCCAAAAAGGACAATATCTGCTAGTGGTGGGCTTGGGCCATTACAAATGGTATCAGAGCCAGACACCGGGCGATGTGTAGTAAGGAGGCTGAGCCTCGAAGAAGGTGGACGCGAGGTGATGTGCCAGTAAGGACACTGGGCCCCGAAAGGGGTGGATTGTGAGATTCCACATCAGTTGGAGAGGAGAACGAAACATTCTTTATAAGGGTGTGGAAACCTCTCCCTAGCAGACGCGTTTTAGAAACCTTGAGGGGAAGCCTGAGAGGGAAAACCCAAAGAGGACAATACCTGTTAGCGGTAGGCTTGAACTATTACATTATAAAAGTTTTACCTACCGCATATAAAAGTGACAAAAACGAACACTATTTTGATGTTTTCATTCACAAACTACTCGAGGAAAGTTCTCTTTCACAATTGTGAGTCATTACAATGATGAAACTATACAAAGCTCTCTATTCTGAGTAATGTACAAAATTTCAAGGTCATTAAAAACAATGGAAGAATCAGCTATCATACACAGTCAAAGAGAATAGAATCACAAGACAAACAATCAAGAGAAAAACCAAAAAGGGAAGCTATGGTCTAGATTTCATGGGTATCAGAAGCACTGTCCATTGAATCCTTTCTAAAGTGCTCGGAGTGGTCGATGTCAATAGAAACATCATCTGTCATGGCTGACAGAGATTTTCTATGATGCTTTTGCTCGAGCCTAAAGTTGTTAATCCGTGAGATCACTTGTACGATATCTCTCATGGAAGGCCGTTTTCGAGGGCTACGGTTAACACATCTATATGCAAGAGATGAAACTTCGTTCAGCTCTTGTACATTAAAGTTTCCATCTAAACGATCGTCCACAATTTCTTCCCACCCAACTTTCCCATCCGAAGTCATTGCTGCCTATACATCTCGTAACGAAAAGACATATAAGTTGGAACGCCAATTCTGGCCTTAACTTGGCAGACTAAAGTCGGGAATTAAACAAGCTTCATGTCTCGAAAAATGTTTCCATTCAAGAAAAGAATCGTGAAATAATATTTATTTTGTCGAAAATATTGACGACGAGAAGATAGAGAACTTACAAGTTCAACATACTCCATAAGGCCTTGTTGTGGGGTTCTGCCAGCTATAAGCTCGAAAAGCAATACTCCAAAGCTGTAAACGTCACTTTTCTTTGTGAATTTTCTAGTAGATATATATTCGGGATCTAGGTACCCAAAAGTTCCACGAATATTGGATACATGTTTATCGACCATCTCTTCTCTGGAAAGCCCGAAATCGGCAACCTGCTTGATCAAGAATAAGCAGACAACATATATAAACACTTCAAGAACAAATTATAATTCGTCGTATGGATTCTTTGACAAATGAAAGAAAACATACCCTAGCCCTCATGGAATCATCCAACAAAATATTTGAAGACTTGATATCCCGATGTATTACCGGTGGAACGGCCTGCAGTAATATCATAGAAATACCCCAAGATTGATTTATAAGGTTGCAAAAGCTAGTAAACTCGGTGTCCATCAAGGTTATATCATAACTTACACCATCATGGAGATATTCCAGTCCGCGTGCAACATCTAATGCCACACGAACCCGCAGATCCCAGCTCAATGGTTCATTCTTCCCGCCTGCAAACCAAAGAGAGTATGTCACTTCCCAAGAAACTGATAAAGAAGTATGCTGTAGATGTCCCTTCAAGGATACGGCGGTAAGAGTACTAATAGGGGTCGTACTAAGAGTATTAGTAGGATATTAGTAAGTGCATAGTAGTGATTAGGTAAGGTGGTTTGCTTATACATAAGGGGGATTTACACGGCGGATTGTCCATTTGTGGGAATTAGGGAGAGAGATGGTGTAACAGCTCAAGCCCACCACTAGCAAATATTGTCTTCTTTGGGCTTTCCCTTTCAGGCTTCCCCTCAAGGTTTTTAAAACGTGTCTGCTTGGGAGAGGTTTCCACACCCTTATAAAGAATGTTTCGTTCTCCTCCTCAATTGATGTGGGATCTCACAATCCACCCCCCTTCGGGGCCCAGCGTCCTTACTGCACACCGCTAGCAGATATTGTTCTCTTTGGGCTTTCCCTTTCGGTCTTCCCCTCAAGGTTTTTAAAATGCGCCTGCTAGGGAGAGGTTTCCACACCCTTATAAAGAATCTTTCGTTCTTCTCCCCAACCGATGTGAGATAGCCCTCTCAAAACGTCCCCATGAAGAAAGATGTTATAATAATATATGTTTGGCTCATTTGCATTTAAATTAACTAATGCTTGTACTTTATATTAGACTTCTTACCGTATAAGTGAGAAGCCAAGCTTCCTTTGCTCATATACACATATACAAGTATATGTTGGGCTTTTTCAGCACAGTAACCGACCAAATTTACGAGGTTTCTATGATGCAACCTTCCGAGAAGCATAACCTGGTAAACCGAAGAAGGTTTAATGGATGAATCGGATAAACAAAAAGCACAAAGCTGTTATGAATCAATCAGTAAGAATGGGTGATTGTTTAAAGATGAAGATGCATCAAATCTTTCATTATATCACAACAAAACAGAGCACATTCATTAAATTCTATCAAACAGTCTATCCAGATGAAGGCTTCAAACAGCATAAGAAGAAGATTATCAAAATATTTGAAGAATGATGAATCACCTCTGTTTGGAACTCTTTCTCCCCTTGTTTGGAATCAGTTGCAAGCACCTTAACCGCAACCGTTTCACCACCTGCCATCTGAGCTCTATAAACAGGACCGAACGCTCCTTGTCCTATTACAGTTGTGAAATTGGACGTAGCCTTTTGCAGATCCCTGCCATATCAAAGAACAAAACTCTAAGGTCCGGTCCTAAGGAGCTAGTGGTTCTCAAGATACGTCCAGCAATAACATCGAATTCAAACGCAGGTCTCAAGAACTATCAAGCCACTCTTTATCATAAACGATTAAAAGATCATTTACCAAACCTATCACTACAGAGTTTGTAAGAACACACACCTGTATGAATACTCGAGTATTCCAGAAGCTGCAACCACATTACTTTTCCTGAATCCATCAAGCCATTGTGACATGCCATTGTGGCCAGATTTAACAGGTGACTCTGGAGCTAAGGTTGAGTCTGATAGAATAGTGCAAGAGTCAGCACCATTGATCCGAATAGGAATCGTCGTAGCCCTCCGGGAACTGCTATTTCCTATCTGAGAACGTCTCCGTTGGTACCTAAAGCAAAAGAGAGTCGAAATCGCCAAAAGAACACCAATCACAACTCCTATAGAAATTCCAATAATCAGCCCAGATGACTCCCCTTTCATCTCCTCCCTTCCTGCTTCCCAATTATCAATCCACTGGCTTAATCCATCACAAAACCCTGCAAGAAGAAGACTCATAACTCATACTAA